GGCCCGTGCTGGCACGGCTGCTCGTGGATTGCGTCATGGACTTGGAGGTATGGTGCTGGGCCTGGGCTAAGCCACCACCACCACCAGTACCATCACCATCACCAATGGTGGCGCCAGAGAAAGCGGAGGCTGCACCCCTAAGTGCGCCTCCTGTTGCTGTAGTCGCTGCGGTCCGCCGATGCGCGTGAATATCCGCCGGTGCAGACACGGCCGCCGGCAGTGAGGACGACGACGACGACGATGCACGCGAGTGATCCCTGGTCGCGCCGTGCGTGCCTGCTGTCGGTGTCATACCCGTCAGGGCGGGTGTGTGCGACCCGGACACCACCGACGTTCCTGGCTCGAGTGGAGACGTCAGCGACGACGGCTGCCGCGCGACCGCTGCGGGAACAACAATCGGCGGGCGTGGCGGCGCATGGCGCTCCACAGCACCCTCGTCGACCTTCCACACCACGTTGGCATCGAAACCGCCATCGCTGTCCAGGTCGTGGCGTCGGCGGGGCGTCCGTCGCCGCACCCACCGCGTGGTGTCCGCAAGCGCCTCAAACTCCACATACGCACGCGCGATGGTGACAAACAGCTGGAACACAGACGGCGCGCGCACCACAGGCACGCGGACGGGTTTGAGGGACAGCGTGGGGGCGTGGTCGCGGTAAAACTGCTTCAGATGCTCCACGCCACGCAAATGGTAGTCAAACGCGTGCGTGGCCGTCATCTGCGAGATGCACACGTACAGGTAGCGCAGGGTGTCTGGGCGCTGGTCAATGAGGGAGACCGCAAGCAGGGCGGGCGTGTCGTGCGGCTGCAGCGGCTCCGCCTGCGAGGAGAAGAGCGAGTCTTGTCCGATGGGAAACATGGTGAACTTGGCGTTGGGGTGGCGGCGAGCAAGGCGCGCAATGGAGCGCTCAGCGGTGTCCACAGCAGAGATGAGCTCATCGGCAAACACAGAGGCAACCTGGCACCGCAAGCGCCGCCGCAGCGTGGTGGCAAGGACACACAGCATGCGCATGGTGTGTGCGAGGGCAAGTTGTTGCGGCAGCATGGGGTATGCCTCCAGCTGCTCCAAAATGGACGCGTTGTTGCGTAATGTGCGCAGCATGACGGTGATGGAGGGGAGGACTGCATTGAACGCTACGCCAGTCGCAGTCGCCTCGTCGTAGTGCACCGTGAAGAACGCACACAGCAGTCTGCGGTGTGGTGTTGCAACGTGCAGGACGATAAACAACGTGGGTGTGAAGGTGACTGTTGTGAACGTGCAGGGAACCATGGGCGCATGTCAATGTGAAATTGCTGATGCTTGCGTATGACTGGAGTTGTGGTGTATGTCTGCGTGCATGCGTGTATGCGTGTGTGTGTGTGTGTATGTGTGACGCGGAAGCGTGGGGCGTGGTGGTCAGCGACAGCACCTGAGCCAGGAACAGAGAAGATGGAGCGATGCGGCCACGCGGGCAGAGCGGGCCGGGTTGCCGTTGGGATTGGCGCGGCGATCTGAACAGGAGAGGAGGTAGAGCAAGGGGGGGGGGCGTGGTGTGTGACATTCGGGAAGGGAACTTGGAAAAACGAGCACACAGACACAGGCACGCAACAAAACAGACCAAAAAGTCACAAACAGTCGCTCACACAGGCAGACAGACACAGACACAGACAGACAGATAGATACCCCTCCCCCACAGACAGCCACACCCACAACACAGCGCACCCTGGAGCTGTGCGAGGCGGACAGCGATGACGATCCAGAGGGTGCAGGCCGTGATGGTGTCGGCGTCAATCTCATTGCGGTCGAGAAGCAGAACCAGATACGCATGCACCGACACGGAAAATGGCGGCACGTCGTGCATCCTGGGGGTCGGGGTGTGTGTGTGCGTGTGTGTGTGTGTGTGTGTGTGTGTGTGTGTGTGTGTGTGTGTGTGTGTGTGTGTGGACGGCGTGTGCAGTGGATGGGGTGGCGATGATGAGGGGGGGGGGAGGGTGTGGCGAGCAATTGTCACGATATATAGACACAGGTATGGGGATATACAGACACACACACGCATATGGGGATGCACATTGGCACAAACATACACAGACACACACAGACATACACATACAGAACACAAACAGACACGCACAGACAGACAGACACAGGCAGACACAGGCACACAGACACACACAGACACACACAGGTAGACAGACACACAGACACGCAAAAGCCTACATACCTGATGCCCTCGTGGATAAGTGCCATGAGTCCCGCAAAGACGACCTTCAAGTCATGAGTGGAGATTGCATCAGGGTCATCGAAATGCTGCATGGAGGCGCGCACGAGGCGTGGCCAGGAATACTCATCGTCAAGCGCAGCGCGTGCGGACTTTGGGTCCAGAAGCAGCGAAAGCTCTGACGTGTGCACACTCGGAGCAAAGTGGACGGCCCTTGCTTGCACGCGCTGCCGATGCTGCTGTTGGAGGGAGGGCGTGGTGGGGGCGTCGGAGGAGGTGCGAGCAGGCAGCGACGACGACGACGATGATCCGAGAGAGAAGATGCCAGCGAGGCCAATCATGCTGCTTTTCTTGCTGGTGCTCTGTGAGGCGCTAGTGTCCTTCTCAGCCTCCAACCTCTCCTTTTCCTCCCTCTCGTGTTCCTGCTGTTCCTGCTGCGCCCTTCGAAGCGTCACCAGCCGCCCGCACGCATCCGACAGGGACTCCCACGGCAGTATCCACATGCTGCGGTGGAAGGGGGAGCGCTCGGGCGCACCGTGCGAGTTGTTGGCGCTGTTGCTGCTGTTGTTGTTGCTGCTGTTGGTGGTGTTTGGGTGCTGATGGTGCCGCTGTGCGAGTGCGGATGTCGATGCATATGCGCGCGCTGACGACGACGACGACGGTGGTGGTGGTTGCAGTGGAACGGGGTCAAACGTGCGTTGGCGGCGTGGTGACGACGGCGCTGATGGCGACGTGGGCGTGTTGGTGCGCGGGGGGCCATGCAACAGCTGCACGCCTCTGGGAATCACCTGCCAGCGATGACAGGGGTGGGGGGGGGGGAGTGGCGGCACGTGTGCGTGTATGCAGGTGAGTGCGCATGTGTTCTGAGGTGGGAACATCCCCAATAAGGGGCAATCGTCAAACTCACAACAGCAATCAGACGCAAAATGGGCATAATTAAAGAACATGCACCACTCACATGTACGTGTCTCCAGACACACACACACACACACACACACACACACACACACACACACACACACACACACACACACACACACACACACACGGACACGTACACGACTACGCGTTGGCAGACCTGCTGTGCATATTGGGTGAACATGTCTGGGGCGGTCTGCAGCGGCGTCTTGACGGCCATGGAGCGCGCGTGGTGGTACAACACTTCAAACGGGCGCCCTTGCAGCTCCGCCAGCACAGCAAGCTTGTTGTACGCGTTGTAGAAGGTCGGGTTCAGCCGCAGCGACGCCTGCACGTGTGCATTGGGGAAAGCGGAAAGTGTGCAGGGTGCCCGTGTTGGTGTTGTTTGCATGTATCAGTTTGTGTCGACAGCAAGGGTAACAAACAGGCGCACCATGGCCAGCAGGCAGGCTGGCAAGCGGGCAGGTACTCGCCAACACATACATACACGCATACACACACATACATGCAGACGCACACACCTGGTAAAACGTGTGAGCAGCATGGATGAGGTCACGACGCAGCGGGTTGGTGTCGCGGGTGGAGACGTGCTGCGCTTGGTAGCGCTTCATGTCACCCATGAGGTTGAGGCAGTCTGCCATGATGATGAGGCGGTTTGTCACCTCCACAGACCGACCGGCGCCAATCCACAGCCGCCGTGCCTCCCCTTGCGTGCACGTGTGCAGGCTGATGGGGACCTTCTGCTGCACTGGGTACTTGTTGTCAGCAAGGGTGATGGTGGGCAGGTCTGCAAGGTCGCGGTCGTCCTCAAAGCGGTCGTACACGTGCTCGTACACGAACATCACCATCCGCTCTGCCTCTGCCAGGAAGTTCAGGTACTCAAAGCACAGCCCGCCCATGGCCACGCGGCGGTAATACGCCACCACTTTGTACATGTGGTCTCGCCAGAAATATCGCAGCATGGTGCGGTGCTTGACAGCAGCTGCCAAGTCTGCCACCACCTTCTTGATTGCTCTGCCAACAGCAGCAAGGGCATCATACAACAGGCACACCGAAGATGCAATGGGCCAAAAGCAGTGAGTCACGTACGCCAAGGGGGGGGGGATGAAAATGCAGCATATCGACACGGAGCAAGCGCAAACGTCAACGACATGGGGGCGTGCACGTTTTCATGTGCGTGCGTGTGTGTGCATGTATGCATGTGTGTATGTATGTATGTATGTATGTATGTATGTATGTATGTATGTATGCATGTGTGTATGTGTATGTATGCATGTGTGTGTATGTGTGTCCCATCATCACGACCCCCAACACGCAAAACCACACCAGCCGCCAACCCTCCCCGTCACCGCCACAGAAGGCACCCTCCAAGTGATGTGCAAGTTATTTCCTTCCCTCCCCCACACACCTTCTTGCGTTGGTGAGGGCGACGTTGGCCATGATGCGGCGGTTCTTTGTTGTCACGTGCTTCTCCATGGTGGTTGGCATGGTGGCTGGGAGCGGGTCTGCCTTTGGCAGGGTGGCCATGGACACGCTGCGTGTCTGCTCGACAGCGACCAGGGGGATTTTGAAGGCGGCCTCCTCATCCTGCGTGTTTGGTCGATGAAGACTCTCACTCTCAAAGTCATCCAAGGACTTGTGTGATGTGGCCGTTATACTCGCTGCTCGGCCACTGCGCTGTTGGGCCCAATCTTCCTCGCTTGTGCTCCACCCTTCCTCGCCATCTTGTCGGTGGTGGACAGACGCGTGTTCTGCTTCCGTGTCCGTGCTGCTAGTCACGTGCTGCGGGTAGCGGGTGCTGTCCTGCCGCAAGTGGTGTCGTCCTTGTTGTCGTCTTGTTGGCGCACTCATCGCGCAGCCATCACCACCACCGTTGCAGACAATTTACGAATGATTTACATCAATTGTCAGCAACCAAAGAGAACAAGGAAGGAGGAAGGGGGAGCGCCACAGAGCAACGGGCTGACGGGCTGCCACGCACGCACGCACCATGCTGATGGGTGTTGGCGGTGGCAGTGGCACTGGTGGAGGCGGTGTGCGGGTGAACAGGCTCGCTGGCGTGCTTGCAGCAGCGACTGTGTTGGTGGTTTGGCTGTGGATGCAAGTGCTGGGGCAAGGCAGTGCACCGGTGACCCGGCCCAACTCGGTTGTGGTTGTGGTGCCACCTGCCGATCTGGGCGTGGATCACCTCTCTCACGTGCAGCCGGTGCAGATGGAGAACATCGCCGTGGCCCCTGGTGACGACGGCCAGATGCGGGAACAGCACGAAGATCAACGAAGAATACACGCCCAGTACGGGGACCAACAGGGACAAAGATTACATGAGCAGGGGCAGTCAGAAGATGCCCAGCGTGGTGGAGCACAAGGAATCAATACACAGGAGCACCCCGTGGAGAGAATAGGGGGCAATGCAGAAGCAGGACACGGAGAGACCAACACCCATAATGGAGGCAACACAGGTGGAGTGACTGGGGCAGCGAATACCGTGGATGCTGCAGCTGTCGAAGAGGTGTTGTTTGTGATGGTGTCGAAGAAACACAAGCACCTGGCGGCGTTCCTGCGGTCCTTGGAGCGAAGCGACTGGCCAAAGAACATGGTGATTGTGTTCTCGCACGACTTTCACAATTCCAGCACCGTTGCCCTGACGCGCGAGGCCAAGGCAGTGTTTCCGAACAGCGAACAGTGGCTGCACCCGTTTGCATGCTCGCAGTCGGATCCGGCCGGCCCCGCCCGCGGGTTCCCGCGCTTCACCCCCACAGGCGCCGAGATTGACGACTGGCAAGGCAGCTGCGTCAAGAACCACTGGTGGTGGGCAGCCAACAAGATCTGGGGCTCGTATTCGAACCTGCGCATCATGTACTACCTGGAAGAGGATTTCCTCGTGTCTGCGCATGCGTACAGCGCTGCCACGATCATGCGACGGCAAGCGGAGGCTGGCGACATGCTGGGGTTCATGCTGGAGTGTCGTCGCAACCTGTGGACGGTATCCGGTGCCATGCTGCGGCGCGCGTGGCTTGATATCCACAGCAATGCCGACTTCTTCTGCCACTTTAACGAATACAACTGGTTCGTGTGCGTGTGCGTGCGTGTGAGTGTGTGTGTGTGTGTGTCGTGTGTGTGTGTGTGTGTCGTGTGTGTGCGTGTGCGTGTGTCGTGTGTGTCGTATGTTGCGTGTGTGTGCATGTGTGTGTATGTGGTACAACCCTCCTCTTTTTTGCCTGTTCAACTTCAACCCCCCTCCCCACCTCGCACCCATCAATTGACTGCACTCACCATCCGGTCGCCATGTCTCTCTCTCGCGCGTGCGCTCTCTCTCTCTCTCTCTCTCTCGCGTCGACCGCTGTCAACCGCCACCCCACACCAGGGATCTCTCTGTGAAGCAAGCCCTCATCCGCTTTGCATCAGAGCCATCGCACCGCATGTACATATGCGCACCGCGACGGTTTGCTCAGCACACGGGCGACATTGGGCAGGGCCTCACGCGGGGCAAGGATGTGGGCGGCGATGAGGAGGAGGATCGACTGATACGGGAGCTTGAGACATCGTTCTACGCAAAGACAGACACGCAGACGCTGAGCGAGCACGCAGCCACAACGCGGGTGGAGAAGCTGTCACGGCAGCACAAGGGCTTCAAGGGGTTTGCAGACATGCGCTACCAGCACCACTGCATGCACGTTGCCAGCTACTACGATGGCCGTGGCCGTGGCGAGGGTGATGATGACGAGGGGAGTGATGCATGGATAGCTCGCTTCGTACAAGAGACCCTGTCACTGTCGCCGGAATAAACACAGCCATATCTAGGCGTGTGTGTGCGTGCGTGCGTGCGTGCGTGTGTGTGTGTGCGCGTGTGTGCATGTCATGTGTGCACCTTCGGTATGCTTGGGAGGACTGTGTCCATGATGTCATGTCAATGAATGTCCAACCGGTGGTGTATTCGGGTTGGGGAATTGCAAAAGGCACATATGACACACACACACACATATACAAATATGAAGGCCGGTCAAGAGCCGGCTGCGTGGATTGAGTGGTCTGTGACACAAAGCCATGTGTACGTGTGTGAATGCATGCGTGAATGTGAGTGTACGCATGTGAGCGTGTGGTAGCCAACACAAAAGCGCACATAATGCCACCACGAGGCAAGCTGCATATAGTCACGCACGCGCGCGCACACACACACACACACATATACAGACACACACAGGCACACACAGAGGCACATGAGAAGGAGACAACTACAGCTACACGACGAGCACCAGCAATACCGCGATGTGCTGAAGCGGTCAGTGTGGCTCTGGGACGTGGCCGTCGACGTAGAAGTTGCGCGTGTATTCCGGCAGCTCCAGCACCATCCCCTCAAGCTCCTTCGTCAGGATAATCTGGCACCCTGCACATCCACACACACACACACACACACACACACACACACACACACACACACACACACACACACACACACACACACACACACACACACACACACACACACACAAGGTGGACGTAAGTGACGAAAAGTAACCCGGGGGCTGGTACCTGGGGTCAAACGTGATGGTATGGCCCCAGTGTTGTGTTGTGTGTTTTTGTGTGTGTGTGTGTGTGTGTGTGTGTGTGTGTGTGTGTGTGTGTGTGTGTGTGTGTGTGTGTGTGTGTGTGTGTGTGTGTGTGTGTGTGTGCGAACGAACCAAGACGGGAGTTTTCCTTCAGCAGCGCGGCCAGATCAAGCATGTCATCCTCTCTGCAACAGCACGTGGGGGGGGGGCGGGAATGTGAGGATGGCAGCGTGCACGACAAGGGAGGCTCGACGGGATGAACGAGAAGGCACATATGGGGATGCACATGCGTACATGCACAAGCAAGTACGCACACGCGCGCCCACACGCACACATGCACACGACTTCAATGAGAGCAGTGTTGAACGCACTCTTCCTTTGGCTCTGGCAGCTTGTCAAAGTATGGGTGGGACACATACACGTGGCACGTGGAGCACGCCAGCGACGCCTCACATGCACCTGCAGTCACACACACGCACAGACAGACACACACACACACAGACACACACACGCACAGACACAGACACACAGACATGGACACATACAAGAAGCACATGTGCATTGCACATGCTCAGTGGGAGTGGAAAGGGCAAAGAAGCAGGGATGCACAACAGGCTAGTGGGGGCATGCTGCCCGTCAAAATGGAATTGACAACGTGACTGACACTGCAACATTGCAGACAACACTGACGGTTACCTTCCAGTTCAATGCCATGGCGGTGGGCGAGGTAGAGCACGTTATCGCCGACCTTCCCGCGCACGGTCGCCTCCGTCTTGTCACGCTTGATGAACGTGATGTTCACTCTGGGGGTGTGTTTGTGAATGGTTGAGGATGAAAACACAGTGTTGAGTGTGAGCGAGCACGAACGCAAATGTGCAGGGAGTGTGTGCGTGTGTGTGAGCGCACGCGTGTGTGTTGTGTGTGTGTGTGTGTGTGTGTGTGTGTGTGTGTGTACATATTGACTCATGTGAGCACATGTAATTGTTGCGGGCAAGGGGTGCGGTTCGTGACGCCGTCGTGACATATGACTTACACTTCGTCTTCGCTCTTTGGGTCCTGCCACTCGTACTTGCCATGCTCCAGCCGACCTGTTTGTTGTGTGTGTGTGTGTGTGTGTGTGTGTGTGTGTGTGTGTGTGTGTGTGTGTGTGTGTGTGTGTGTGTGTGTGTGTGTGTGTGTTGCGGATACGTGTCGTTGCCATGTACATTTGAATGGGTAAAAAGTCGCAATAGCGGTGCAACGCTGTGTGCAGCACCTTGTGCACAGACACAGACAGACAGAGAGACAGACACAGAAACACACAGACACAGACACCCACACCCCAAGCCCGCATTGCCCGTGTTCAAGCCGCAATGACTGACGTGAGGAGGTCAGGTGTCGATGCTGTGTTGCCAGGGTTGTGGTAGAGGAAGTGGTTGGCGTGGTTGCAGGCACTATGCTCTGCCCCAATACGGAGGCCGAGAGCGAGCGTGCAGCCACATGCGCTGCTACTCTGCCACTGGCACCACGTGCAGCAGCAGCAGCAGCAGCAGCAACGCCCCTCCGCAGTACTAGCATTGTCGCCATCATCCTGTTCACACAACAGAGGTGCGTGTGCGTGTGCGTGTGCGTGTGCGTGTGCGTGGGGGGGGGGAAGTGAGAAAGCAAGCGTCGTGGGAGAGAGTGATGGTGGAGAGGTTCATCACAGCGGAGTGGGTGCACGCCAACGTTGCACGCACGCTGTCTTCGTTGTTGTTGTTGCGCTGTCTTTCCTCTTCTTCGTCAGCAGTTTTTTTTTTGTTTTGCGACGACGACAACAGGCACATCAACACACACCCATCTTCCTGTCCTTCTTCCGCACCCTGCTGGCTTGCTTGCTACCCTTGCTTGCTGCCCTTGCTTGCACCCACCTCTCCTTCGTCTCCTCGTCTCCTCGTCTCCTGTCCTGCCTTCCTCTACCTGTCACGCACACACACGCACACGGCACCATGTATCTTGGTGGGGTGTCCGTTGCCTATGAGAAGGAGAGGACGCCGCCAGAGTGGTCGGTGGTGCCCAAAACCGTCAATGGGCACGATGCGGACCTCAACGCTGGCACAAAGCTGCCCCTCCTCGGCGGTGCAAAGATGTACATATGCGTTCGCCCACTCAACCACCAGGACAGCCACTACATCACCAATGTGACTGTCATCCACGAAGGCAAAGAGGCTGTTCCCCTCGGGCACGAGGTTGTTCGCCGCTCCGTCTCAGGTGCGCGTGCTGATGCGTGTGCTGATGCGAACTGCTCATTCACCACACACTCAACGACGATGGTCATATGTGTGCGTGTGCGTGCGCGTGCGCGCGTGTGTGTCTGGATGTACACGTGTGCATGTGCATGTGTGTGTGCATGTGCATGTGTGTGTGCATGTGTACGTGCATGTGTACATGTATGCGTGTGATTTGTGATTCTCAATCCTCAAGATGCCCACACGCACTCATACACCAAACACACGCATTCATACGCTGCATGCTTCGTCTATTGGACAGGCAAAGATGCAAACCTCAACGCCAAGTCTGGTGGATCCAAACTGTATCTCTGCGTCAAGCGTGAGCCCCGATACACGGTTCGTTCGCATGCAACTTCGGGTGTGTGTGTGTGTGTGTGTGTGTGTGTGTGTGTGTGTGTGTGTGTGTGTGTGTGTGTGTGTGCGCGCGCGCGCGATCGAGAAAGATA